CGCTGATACGGTGTCCGCTGATACGGTGTCCGCTGATACGAGCCGCTGATACGAGCCGCTGATACGAGCCGCTGATATGGTGGCCGCTGATACGGTGGCCGCTGATACGGTGGTTGCTGATACGGTGTCCTGCTGATACGAGTCGCTGATACGATACGAGTCCGCTAATACGGTATCCGCTGATACGAGTCRCTGTTACGATACTAGTTGGCTGATACGAGTCCTCCGCTGATACGAGTCCGCTAATACGAGTTGGCTGATACGGAGGTTGCTGATACGAGTCCGCTGATACGAGCCGCTGATACGGAGGATCTGCTGATACGAGCCGCTGATACGGAAGAGGCTCACTGATACGGAGGAGTCTCACTGATACGGAGGATGCTGATACGGAGGCTTGTGATACGGAGGATGCTGATACGAGCCGCTGATACGCAGGATGCTGATACGGAGGCTCGTCGCTGATACGGACACCTTCTTATTTGCTAACTACTTGTCCCCCCTAATAGAACAAGTGGCTGTATGATACTACTACTATGTTAACTGTGCTGTGTTGTTAGTATCGTCCTCAACAAAAGGACCATCTTATTAGCTGACAGGAGTGTTGGTATCAGTGTTGTCGGTGTTTTCGTTATCGTGGTGATTGTCGAGAATTACTCTCCMGACTTGCATTTTTTCCATAGAATTTGCCTTGTGCGTGACAGTGCGAGTACTTCCGTACAAGTTTAGCTTGAGTAAAATTACACCTAGAATTAACGCAGGAATTTTGGCCCACTACTACTGTAACTTCTGGATACTAGTTCTAAGCCGCCAGAGCATCCTTAAGCATCCCAATGACCTGGATCACTAAGTAATTGTATTATCTTGGTCTGGGCGCTTATTCTGGTGGTGCTCTAAAGTTGTTTTTTGATAGAGTTCTGGCCTATTCTATCTAGCATGCGCTCTTGTAAACCGGCCAATTATGGCCATACCGGGTGTTAGTGGAGAATCGCCCCCCCCCCTGGCCCTTAATCGTGTAACAATGACATATGGGGCTATTCCCAACACGATAAGGAAGCTTTTCCCCAAAGGAGATCTCATTACAAGCCTTTCCGGAGCTGTTGTGTTTAGCTTATTGAGCTGTTTGTAGTGGAAAAAGTGACCGAAAACTAGTAGATCTGTGTAGGACCAGAGTACTAAAATACGGTGCCCAAAATTAACCGTGATGCTACTAGTAATAATTTTTGGTGTTTGAATAGAATGCCTTTCTGCCCTGTAGGACGTGTAGGGTTCATACGGTTAACGCATTTTACTCCCATTAAACTCGTACTGGTTGCTGAGATGGAGCTTCCCGAAAAATGGCACGCGCGAATCGTTAAAAACTCTCATTCTTTTCCCATGCAGGGATGGGCATCGCACCGCTGGGGTCCCACCCTACCTTACTAGAGCTACTAAGTACAATTCCCATAATGGCAAGCTATTGGCAATCCCCGTACAAATACTAATAGAAATTTTTAGCTCATTTTTACAGTTAAATCCAGTTAAAAATGGCATCCAAAGGACAAAAATAAAAATATTTCCATTGTTTAATTTCTCGCTGGTCCCAAAATATTTCTATTGGTGGTCCTTAATACTAGAGATAAGCACTGATTTGATATTCTAAGTAGTAAGTATYMAGTATAGAAATATTTTCGGACTTGTACTTTTTTTCGTGGAGGAGGGGGAGAGGGGAAAAAAAAGACGGGAAAATAAAAAAAATTGATAGTCGGGAAATTGCCAATAGCTTGCCATTATGGGAATTGTACTTAGTAGCTCTATACCTTACCCTACGAACGTACTTCACGGTGAGCATACGTCATTCGTTCTAAGGAATGAGCTTATCTCCGAACTTGTTTAGGGTTCCCCGCGAACTTGTTTAGGAGTCCCAGGAACTGAATGAGCTTATCTCCGAACTTGTTTAGGGTTCCCCGCGAACTTGTTTAGGAGTCCCAGGAACTGAAAGTATCATTTGTTTCTAATATCTGATGACAAGAATGTGTTTGTTTAGGAGTCCCAGGAACTGAATGAGCTTATCTCCGAACTTGTTCTAAATTCCTCCGAACTATACAAAACTTCCCGAAAGAAAATTCCCTCGATACTTAGTCTTACCGTGTAGAGATAAAATCTATGAGCCGACGTACTTAGTCTCTCCGTCCAGATATATCTCTGAACTTGTTTAGGGTTCCCGCGAACTTGTTTAGGAATCACAGGAACTGAA